GCTTGGACAGCTTCTTGGTTAGCTCGGCAATTGCCCCTTCTAGGCCAATATGGTTAGATTCCCTAGTGTCCGTGGCAAACATACGAGTGCTCACTTCCAATGTGGAAGTACTTTCCAGGGCTATTTTACAAGGATACGTGCCATACCGTTTACTCACCTTCTCAACCTTCTTCATGATTTCTTTGACGTACATGTCCATCTCTTGCTTAATGTTCACCTTGCTCATGCCAGGAAGAAGCGCGCCCTTGGTTGACTCGATGCGCGCCATGAAGGAGTGGAGGTGTGTCCCGATGGCATGAGACAGCTCCCTGACCTCCCGGGCCCTGAGCTTGACCTGCGACTCAAGCTGATCCGGCGGCATGCTGGAGACAGCCTCAAGGAAAGCGTCCATGTTTATAAGCTCGTCGTAGAGGTTCGTCAGCTTGTCCTTCATGGTCTTTTCCACGCACCACTCAGTCACGACCAACTTCATAAGAGAAGACATGATGCCACACTCAAAGAAGTTGAGACCACCGCCTCCATGGCGACGCTCGCTTGGTGGACTCTCACCATCTCTTGCTAGCTTAGAGCATCTCCAATAGAAAATGTAGATACAAAAATATCTAACTTTTGCATCTTCGAGGCCCAAAACCCCCTCATCAACAGATGATGTAGATGCAAAAAAAATTACATCTCCACCTTCCGGAGATGTAAACTACAACATCTCGTGGTGCAAATTTGGATATCCACCATCTAGAGATGTAAAACTGGCGGCCTCATGCCAACCGCCAATTGCCTTTCATTGCATTTCCCATCCCCCATTCCTCTTCCTCCTGGTCGCCAACGACACAACAGCCACCGCCCGATAGCCACCATGCCACGACGCCGCCGTCCCGCGCCACCTTCGGCCCCTCTGCCGCTCCGCCGCAAATATGCCGCCACACCGACTCCTCTCACCCGTCGCTGCTCCGCCTCCCACCGCCGCCTCGACTCTCCTCTGGCCTTGCTCCACTTCCGCCACCGCTGCCCAAACTCTCCTCCAGCCTTGCTCCACCTCCGCTGCCGTTGACCCAACTCTCCTTCGGCCTCCCACCGCCTCCCGCCGTAGCCTCGATCCCTAGTTCCCCACTGCCACCGCTTAGCTGCACCTCCCACACCACTATGACTCGTGTCCGGCCCCACTCCATCGCCGCTGCCTCGACTCTCCTCCGATCTCGCCCCGCCTCTGCGCCGACCTCTCTCCGCCTCCTGCCGCCACCTCGATCCCCAGTACCGCCACCTGATCCCCACTGTTGCGGCCAATATATATCTCCAATATGCATCTTCTGTTGGAGTTACTCTTTTACATCTCCGTTTTGCATCATCTGTTGGAGTTCGCAATTTTTACATCTCCTGTTTTACATCTCCAAATTTTCATGTTCTATTGGAGATGCTCTTACATCTTCTTCTTCTCTCTACTACCTTTGGGAAGTTCTTGCTTGGGTTGCTTGAATTGGGAGCGTATAGATACTAGTAGCTAGATCCAGGCATAAATATTTTGTTGGTCAGATCTGACCCATGGTGCCTCGCATGCTGCTATGCAACGTCTAAAAATACAGTGACTCGCTGATCTAGGCGGTAGGTGAGTGCAGTTCACATGCCTCTGCAATTAACCTGGTATTTACACCGAGATTCCCGCAACAAGTATTAACTCCGAGGTAATCAAGGTGCCATACATCTTTCTATGCAGGATCATCTTATAAAAGCACAGTTTTCGTTTACTCCGAGATAATCAAGGAGGGCATCCAATGCATTCCTATCCTCCCGTTGGGTTGTGCCAGCAACGGGATGGTTAAAGATAAACGTCAACGGTGTTGTTGATAATGGTAATGGCAAGTGAGCCACAGGCATGGTTGCTCGTGATCATGATGGTGCTTTCCTGTCGGCAAGACCCTATGGCTTGGAGCTTTTGGCGTGTCGTGACCCTCTTAGCTTGGAGCTTTTGGCTGTTTGAATGCCAAGAACCTATGGGAAGCAAGGCAAGTGGATAGATCAATTGGCTACCATATTTTACAGGAGATGCAAGAAGATATATTAAGTTTCCAGGGATTCAAGCTTCGTTATGC